TGATTTATAGAGAAACTTTCCGGCTTCCACTTTGCACATACTAGAAACTACCAGTAAATAGTCGAAAACCCCAAATTTCTAGAACTCGAAAAATCTCAGAAGACAAAGCGGTGATGATGCATCCCAACCAATTCGATGGAAGTGCTGCCTTCTCCGGCGGAGGATTCATGCCGTCTCAGGCCACCCAGGCCCCCGATCCCTCCCCGTTCTCTTCCTCCAGAGTAACACCCATGCCTTTCAATCTATGATTATGGTTTCCGCATCTAATTTATATTTCGTAATCTTATTAGTGATTTCATTTCTGTTTCATATCAAGTCTAAGATACTATAAACCCTAAGGCCTTGGTGTTAGGGTTTTAGGGTCAGATCCTGTTGAAGGAGATGTAGACAGTAATTAAGCATTAAGGCATTACAGTTGTGGAATTGAATACGTACATATAACATTTCGCTTCTGTTTGTTTATGGAATCTTAGATCTAACGTTCCCCACTTTTTTTTGGTGCAGAATAGTGATGCTCGCTGCTTGATACCAGTGACGGTGAAGCAGTTGAAGGACTTATCTAGAAATTGTGAATCCGGTATTTCCATTGATGGTGTTGATGTGAATACTGTAAGCTTTCTTGGGGCTTTTTGCCTTTTTTTTATTTGTTTCTTGGCCTTTTTTTTTTTTGTTTTTTGCCCCCTGAATTGTTTTCCAAATGGTCCCTGGTTTGAGTTGTGTTTAGGTTGTTCTTGTGGGGATTGTATGCAAGATAGACAACGCTATCACAGATTGTACTTTTAGAGTTGATGATGGTACAGGCTGGATTGAATGCACAAAGTGGTGAATTTTGTCAACTTAACCATTGCGTTTTAATTTTAGAACCAAATGTTGCTTGGCATCACCAATTCTGATTCTTGTGGCTAATGTGATTTTGTATATGTGTAGGGTTCATGAACATATTGACTCTGCTGAAGTGGAAGCAATCTCGTATGTTTAATCATGACCTATATTCTTAAGATTACGTGTCCCATATCTCAATGTGGGAAATATTAGGAGAAGTAAATGAAATATTGGGAAATTATAATTTGTTAAAGTTGAAATTGACAACATCTGGAGTGTGATTCCAATATTTTCTTGTCTCCATACATAGATATACTTCGTGTTTGTACACACAAGTTGCTTTAAGTTGCCTCTCAATATAGTTTTCAAAATCTCCAAATATTTTATTCTATCTCAGGGTGGGAAAGTATGTTCGTGTCTATGGCCAGTTAAAAAGCATCCAGGGTAGAAAGACCTTGAATACCTTTTCTATTAGGTATTATTCTTTTTCTTCAGTTTCCTATGTTTTTGAATTTTCACTTAACTTTTAATCTTTATCTGTCCATTTTTGTATGTCTTTTTTGTTCCTCTTATTTTCAATTGGAGCTGGATGATTCTTGGAAACTCTGCTATAACTTTTTTCTTGGAGCATTTACACCTCCCCTGTCTCTGAGATAAGCCCACTTATGACCTCATGAGTGGTCTTGTGGAAAATAAGAAAAAAAATTTATTGTATTTTCTATGCTGCATTTAGAAGATAAAATAGAAATTGAGGAAAGGAGGAGTGGAGTTTTTTTTTTTTTTTCTCACTTCAGTGTTGTTTTCATCAGTTTCTTTTCCGGTGGCTTGTACAATAGATTCTGCTACTTTAGATCTGGATGATTATGAAACTATTGGTTGTTTAACTTTAGCTGCTCGCTGGATTAAATAACTATTTATTATACTTTTGCTCTTGTTCTCCTTGTTAATTTATTTGGTGTTTGCTTTTTAGAGTTTTGGCTCTAAATTTGGCTGTGCTTTCAGGCCACTGACTGATTTTAATCAGATTACAAGTCACTTCCTTGAGTGTATATATGTTCATCTTTACAACACCAAGTTATGGGTATTATGAGTTTTACTAAAATCACACTCTTGTATTGCGAAAGATTCTAAATTACATGAATGTGAGTATCACATTGCTTACCTCAAGGGGTTGCATTTATCCTGCAGGGGATGTCTACACAACCTCAGATGACAAACCCTACCATAAGCAGTACTAATCCCACAAATCAAGTAATGGATACTACTTGAATAATATTTTGCTACCTTATTGATGTTTTAACTGATTCTTCTTCTTCTTTTTTTCTTGTTTGTGCACCGGGGGGAAGAATTTAATAATACACTATACTATATACTTATAATATATAATATTATAATTATAACATTTTTATTTAATAAATAATATATTACAATTATAAGCTTATGATTTCCTTAAGAATTTAAGTGAAGCATACTTCACTTTGTCTCAAAACCAAGTAAAGCCCAACTTCAGGAGTCCAATCAAGTCCGTTTATATTTTCAATTTTCAAATTTGCCCCCCGTATGGTCTTTTGAGATCTATCCGACTACGAGGGAGACACGGGCACATTCTCATTCTGACTGAATCTCTTCCTCGGAGTCGGAGAACTTCCCTTGCTCTCCCCTGCAACAATGCCGAGCACAGATGCAGACTTCGATCTCAGAGTACCATTTCTCTTCCCAAAACCCTAACAATTATGCTTCATTTTCTTCGTTTCTCCTAACTAACATTTTCTTCTTCCTCTGCACAGCAGTCTCCACAGTCCGCCTTCTCTATGGGGTCAGTCGTCCGCCTCCATTTCTAGGGTTTATCCACAGAAACTGTTGATAAATGTATTTTTGATGTCTTTTTCCTTCTTTTTATTTAATTTGTTTGGTTTCAGAGATTACACATTCGCCGATGCCGGAAACTTGGAGCATTGTGCTAAGTACTTGAATCAAACGCTCGTCACATTTGGCTTTCCCTCTTCGCTTGATCTGTTTGCTAATGATCCTGTGTGTTTTCTTTTCCTTCTTTTTTTTTTTTTTTTTTTT